GAGTCATTCTGTGAAACAAATTGAACATAGTTTTCCCCATAACAACAAAAGAAAACAGAAATAATCTTGAAGGGTGAAGCACCTCTCAAAACATTTGCAGGGAACTTCTGGTTTCTAATACTACAGACTGTGTTAAACAAGTCTTTTAAATGAAAAGACTTCCCAAAAATACATGCTCAATATAGGTGAGGCCTGTTAAGTCCAGCGACCTGATCCCTCTATGAGCCATGGGGAATGCAGTATGGAGAACCAATCTACACAAGAAAGGAGTTAGTAATAAACCCCAAAACTACATTCCAGTGTGAGAGTCATGTTTTAAAAACTACCTGTTTCCTGAATGCAGCTGTATTCATTATTGCTCCACAAAATACCAGGGGCCAAGTGAAATACTGTGTTTTACAGATCAGATGAGATATGATGAAAAGAAAATGGGGAGGGGGAAAAGAAGCAGGGAGGTCCTGAAAAAGAAAGCAAACCAATCCTCTGCTTAAAGAAAGTATGAGAAACAGGTCTGCAGAAGCAGTGGATCAAGACTTTCAACTAAGAGGATTTATGGAGAAGGAGATTTTATCTCCAGGCACAGGTTAGCCTGGTATAAATCCTAACCCTTGTTTTAAACAAACTGACCCCAAATTACCTATGACGTTTAGAAGAATTTTCTACTAGAAGAGAACCTTGGTGGTAATTTTGTGATAAGCAAGGCAAAGTATTTGCAAGAGAAAGCTTTCCAATGAACAGGATGATTTCACTTTGAAAAACTTCCTGCTTGTTGATTCATTGTATCTCCAAAGCAGCCCAGTCTGGAAATCTTGCTTTCAGTTGAACTTGGCATGGACCTTTAAGTAGTTTGTTGGCAAAATTATTTAAATAAAGGTTCTTTGTCTACCTTTCCTTTTTCCAAAGGTACAAAATTTTGTTAAGCAAAAACATAGCCTGCATCTGTTAAGCAAAACCATGTACCCACGAAGAGTATAAAAAACTGAACTTAGAAACAAATTTGCAAGAATGAAGACATGTTGTTCTAACACACTTCCTCAATGACCACAGACCCACCACAAGCACAGAGGAGAGCTAGGCTGCAGCTGAGAGCCTGACTGCTCTAGACACAGCAGTGACAGCACCAGAAACATGTCAAATCCAAGTGGACAAGCACTGCCAGACAGCAGCATCCTGTACCACACTAATGCAGGTGTGAAAGCAACCAGGTCTTGGGGAAGCAGCACTGTGCACTAAGGTGATTCCACACCTGCACCAGTATCTCTACTGGTGGTGTTAGGTGCTTCTCTGCAGCTGCACCAGCACAGCTGAGGGTAGCCTGGATGTTTCCACCATGCTCCCCTGCAGCAGCACAAATGTATTTTCTGAGGCTTTTCTGCTACTACAATGTACCACTCTGGTACTCACAGCCTCTTATTTTCCTGCAGATCCCTTTAGAAATCAACTTTTAGTTGGGATTTGAACGCTATGAGGACTTTGTAAGATGGATGTGTGAAGTGGCCATACCAAGGCATTCAGCTATTCAGTAACAGCTGTTCAGTTATTCAGTAAGGGAGGATAGTCAGTTAAGTCAGGCAGCTGAGGACATGGATTGAGAGCAAAGGATACAGGGTGACAGGAACAAAAGATACCACAAGAGTAATAAAAAAATATGAACAGGTACCCACCTCAAATGTAGAGATACAAATATGTGGCAGCCTGGGAAATAAGCAGGAGGAACTAGAGTTCCTTGTGCTGTTACTACAGCACTGTTGGAATAACAGCTATGGTGGGAGGGCTCCCATGTGGTGAGAGCACTGTGATGGATGGATACAAGTTACTCTGGAAAGACAGGAAAGAAGAAGGGAAAACTAAGGGGGCTTTCTACATGTAGGATTAGCATTTGTGATGGATGGCAGTCTGATTGACAGCATGGGTCAGGATCAGAAAAGAAACCAGTAAGAGTGACAAGGATGTGGCAGTGTGTTACAGCCCAGCCCACCGGGGCGATGAGGACAGTCAGGAACTGGAACAGGTTGTCTGGAGAGGATGTGCAGTCTCCATCCTTGCAAGATTTTCAAGGCCTGACTAAATAAAGTCCTGGTCGAAGCTCACAGCTGATACCTGTTAAGAAGGCAGCTGGACTAGGTCCAGAGGTCTCTCCCAACCTGAATTATATTGTGATTCCAAGTCAAAAGGACAGAATTCCAGATAGGAAATGTAGTTTTGAAATTGAGGCAGAGGAATCTGCTACCAACCAAGAAGTGTGTTTTGTGACTGTGTCTTCACCACAAGTATCACACACAGATGCTCACCCAGCAGTCAACTGTAGGTCAAGGCTACAGATTCCCAGGAAGCTACAGAGGAATGATGGAGCAGATCTTGCGAGCATCAATCGTCTAGGGAAAAAAATAAAAATCCCTGGCAACAAATGTGAACTTGAAGTTAAAGTCCCAAAGTGCATTTTCTCAGGGCAAGGAGCTTCTGAACGTTTTAGTTTCCCTAACCATTTAAGAGCCAGCGAACGTGAGACAGCACTAAAAAGTATTCCCAGGGAGGGTAAGGGGCAGAGGGGCAAAAATGTGTTTAATTCACTTATGTTCCTCACATGTGACCTCCCTAACAGTCCTGCCATACAATACAGCATATCAGCACCAAGTCTGAGAAGTAACTAAAACTTACTGCCTTACTGTTGCTGAGACATTATTTACGTGTTTTTGGACCATATGAACGAGCTCTCAAATCCAGACCATAATCACAGTCCTTTCTTGACAAACATCCAACTGTTGTTTTCACTGACAGAACCATACTGTTTCTAACTACTTTAAATATAAGACTGCTGCCCTCAAGAAATTGTAATCACACCATCTTTCTTGATTTGATAAATACACCCCCTCAAATCTTGGTTCTGTCTGGTTCTCTTCCCAGAGGTGACTTTGGTTCCACCAGCATCACTCAGCTCTTCTAGACACAGCTCATGCTCTAGGGAAGCTCACAGCTAGCCCTCTATGTCCAACTGCAGCCTCCTCTATGAAGGCTGCTCACTGGGATCATTTACATCATCAGTGATTGCTGCTCCTCAAAGTCTCCAGGCTTCAGTCAGCAGCTACCTGGTCTCCAGCTCCCTGGACTTGCAGACATCTGAAAAAATCACCTGTGCATTCCACTGCTAGAATACTGCTTTTGGCTTCTTTCTCCTCTTTTCAGAAGTTGGCCTGCAGCCACAAGGGTTCAGGACTGTTCCAAAATGGGACAGGCAGTCTAAACAGAAAAGTGATGCTGAAAGGTGCTACATACACAGCAACCATATCCTGCCCTGCCTTTTAAGCAGACTGAATGTCTATAACCATTTACAAATGAAGCTTGTGCTTCAGCATGACTCAACCATATAACCAAAATACAAAAGTTATTGTTATTTGTCTACAAGTGTCCTGTATCTATGTGTCAAAAGTCATATAAAACCTTTGCTACCTATAACAGTGGAACACTGTGGACATAATGCACTGCCACAGTTCTGCTGCATGCTTGTGCCCCTGGTAACCCATTTTCTTATTATTGCACTGCACCATTATCCATTTGGTTTATCTAGAAAAAAGAAAACTCACAAATACTCAAGTACTGCCCTAATCTTCAAAAAGCTTCAAAGTCTATTGCTGGGGAAACAGCAGAAAAAGTACCTCTAGGTCCTGCAAAGATTTAGGTAACAATATGCTCCTTATAGCATCTGTGCCATGTTTGCTATCAAAGGCTTTGGGTTAGCACCAATAACAAATTACAATAAATTTCGTATCAGCCTTCAAAAAAAAGTTGCAGTCCCAGGATTTAGGCAGAAAACTGTTTCAAATTCAAGGCTCAGTCTTAAAGAATATGATAATTTCTGTGACCAAGATAATGACTGAGTCATTATTCAAGACGTTTATTAATCGGAAATGAACACTTAGGAGTATTATTTTAAACTCTGAACAAACTCATGTGGAATTGATCTGAAGGTCTAACCCTTTAGTTTGCCAACTGCTGGAAAGTACTTTTCCTTGCCCAGTTTTTACAAGTACCTTGGAAGTTTGCGTGACTGCCCACAGTATTTCCAACAAAAAATACCTGAGGGAAAAGACTTCAGACTACACCGTTAGAAATTCTACATAAAATCACATACCACTGCAACATCAAAGAACCTAAAAAAATTGAAAATGAAACAGTAATCATAAACACTGATGTTGCAGCTGTATGATAATCTCTGAATATAGTAGTTTCTTGTACAGAATTATGTTAAGAATAAAGACAACAGTCCGTGGAGTTGTTACAACCATTGGCATTTAGTTTTAATACATCAGTGGCTCTCAAACTGGGCAGATGAAATACTCACAAATTCAGACTGGTATTTTCCTGCTTTCCATTTCCCTTTCTGATTTCCTTCCTTCCCACCCTTGTCCCCCTTCCTTTGAAAACACTATTTTTTGTGGCAGATGGACAGAGCAATCAATGTTTTAAAGCCAAAGAGAAGCAATGACTCTGCTGGCCCAACTGATCTGGAAGGGACATTCTGCTGAATATTGGAAAAACAAGGCAAGACTGGGAGCAGGACCCCAGCATGATACATGATACTCCATGGATCTCTGCAAGGGACAGATCCCTCTGCCAAGGATAGTGAGAGAAAGGTTTTGGTGTCACCTAGTAGGCAACAAGTTTGAGGAGAGTGATGAGGCAATAAGGGCATGCAAGAGCCCCTGCCTGAACCTGAAATACAGGTTTAAAGTGAAGCTGAAAGCACAATGAAAAACATGAGTGGTATATACAAGTGTGGGTGGAGACCAGTTCTATGGGTACAGAAACTAGAGAGTTGACTAAAGAAATTTTAAATCAGGTGGCAAAGACAAGTGCAAACCCACTTTTCCAATGCAAACCAGTTGCACTACCCTTGGAGAGCAATGCTTTATGAAACTGCAAACCCTACTATCTAATTCCATTCTCTTTATTTTGTCTTGTCACTATCTACATGAATGGAAAACAATTGCAAAAATAGATACATGCACTCCATTTTTACTGGCTTCCAGAACATGATTGGATTGGAAGCAATGGTTCCAACACATTCCTCTTTTTAAAACTGTGGTTTCACTGAAAGGTGGTTGTTTCTTGATCTTTTACTTAGCATATTATTTGTATGTTAGCCAACAGAATTCCCAAAGGCTTTTTCCCATGCTGCTCCTGTCAGACTTTTTTTTCAAAGAGCACCTGACTGAAGGCTACTTCCAAAATCCATCTGTAAAACTTGCATTTGGATACTCTTCATTCATAAAACAGATGTCAAAGTGAAGAGTAAGGAGGAGAAAAATGTACAGAAAGGAAGGAGACCTGTACAAAAAGCATCACGATGAAAAACAGAGATTGTTTGACTCTCCATTTCACCATAATAGAATTGTTAAAAGTAATGTTCTTCGGACTGTGTGTCACATTCAATTCCTAAAACAGAATATCAGCCACTGTGTTTCTGTGCTGAAAGTCATTTTCCCACTGCTTTTTGTAGACTGTTTGGATTATTTAGCTTTAAAGAGTCCAAGAGGCTTCTGATTGTTTCACTTCCTATTCCTTTCATCTTATTCTTCATCTTGCTGGAACTACTTTTTCCAAATGGTATCAGTAGTACTGCCAGTCCCCAAGGCTCGTCATCGATCATTCGCTCAGTTTTCTCTTCCTTCTGTAAAATCCAGGCACTTTCTCTGGCCATAGCTACAAATTTCTCCAGCTGTGGCTGATTAACATTCTTGCTGATATTAAGGTCTTGTTCAAAAGGATTCCAGATATAAAGAGGAGACGACTCAGGTTTATTTACTTCCTTCCCCTGCAGACAGTGTAAAGAAAAAGCCAAAGTTGCATATGTGGATTATAGGCTGAGCAAGTAACAAATCACTTGAGTTATTACATTAGCATTAAAAGTATTTTGACCTACTAGAGAACTTTTTTCCAGAACACCCAATCGTTATTAATCAAGTTAATTTTCCTGTCAACCTGACTGTATGACTCCTGTTCTCCGAATCCTCTTAGTGGTGGTTTTCCTTGCCTCATTCAGCTTAGTTTTCCTTCAAGGCAAAGAACACACAACTACAGCTTTGCCTGTCTTTCTGGCCATTCTCCCATTTGTTTTTCCACAAACCTCAGACCTCACTCACTGCAACCTCCCACTTCTATCTCCATCTGTGTATAGGCAACATCAGTGTGTCACATTAACCTGCATAGCCCAGTTTGATAAACTATTGCAAGCACTTAAACTGTTCAAACCACTCCTCCCACAGAGCTCAGACTTCTCACAGAGCTGGTGTAACAAAACAAGATTACTGCCCTGGCTGAAGTTCCTCTGGGTTCACTCTGTCTGTTAAGCACAGAGCTATTCAGGTCATGGTTCACTTCTGGGTACTTGGTAGAGTGCAACACAAATGGTTGACAACTGGGTAGTTTGCTATTGAAATGTACTTCCATTTCAGTGCTTATCAGTGCCACTTCTATGACCTGCTCTGTATTACAGAACCTCTTCAAGCCTTCCATGCAAGCTCCAGCAGGAACCCACCAGCTACTGCTGGTCCAGGAGTGTCCATGTACACGTCACATACTCTTGCCCCAGGGCCAAGAGGACTGACTAGTTAAACAGAAAAACATCAGCAGCACAGACATTTCCCCTCACTAGCTCAGGCTCCAAACATGTGTTTTTCCTTGCTTTTTTAAGGCTTAATGGCAAACAGAACTTCTCCACCTTAATGAATCAGTTTCCAGGATCAACCTGCAGCAGCAGAGAGCTCTTATGCCAGTGATCTATAGGGCCCAAATAGGAAACAGAAAACAAACAAGTGTCTACACGGCAACACAGCAGTGAAATCCCCATCCTATAAGCAGCCTGGCAGGAACAGGTGCAAGTTAAGGTAGTTACATTTCCATATATATTCTACCTGCATGCACACACACACAGGTCAATAAATAGGATCAGTTAAACACAAAGTAAACTGAACTGATAGCACAGAATGGTCACGTTATATCATGTTCACTGAGTTGCAAATACAGTTACTGTAGGCTGATACAAACTGCAACAGAAAACTCAAGTGCCAAAAGCAAGTTTCAGAACTCAGCTGTAAGTTTTAATGCAGACTCTGGTTGGGTCTGATTTTAAATGCAAAGCCTGTCAGCATAAAGGGTTTCTCACAGACCTTTGCTACGACCTACATCATGACATCTTAAAAGTTTTCCTCTCACAGAAACAAAATAGCTTTGACTTTCTAAAAACTTCTATTACAGGGCTTTCAAGTAAAACCATACAGGCTTAGCATCAGAGTTTGTGCTTTCAAACATATCCCAGTAATGACATGGTAAATGTTCTTAATGGCACTCTAAGCAATTAGGCTCTGAGAGGAAGACACTCTTCCTTCACAGAAAGGACTCTGTTTCCAGATAAATATACATTTATATACAATTAAAAATGACAGAAACTGTTGCTTAGCATATGTAGTTTGTCAAATGGCAGACAGAGAGATTTAACTGATAATGATGAGCAAATAAAATTAATTTACCTTTCGAAGATTTAAGGAATTCTTTCTGAAATCAAAGTTTCCAAAATATTCAAAAAACTCACCCAACAAAACATCTAAGGGAAAGAAAAACAAAGGCTGTCAGTAACATTAGGGAGAAGTTTATTTTCAATATGGTCATTAAAAAAAAAACTGATTAAGATTTACCTACCAAGTGTTTCTGTATTTTTTGTAGGTTTAATCTTCCCTAAATCACTAACAAATGAGCAATCATATCCTCCAATCACATGCTTGTCTTTTGCACCTGAAAGAAAAAAGGTGGGCATATTTTGAAGTAATAAACAATTAAATGCCACTATATTTAATAATATTCAGAGAACAGACATGACTGAAACCAGTGAGTGCTACCATTAGGAGTTCATAAGTGAACCTTCAGGTTAAGATTCAACTTAAATGGTAAAAGATTTAAAAGAAAAAAAGTCTACAGACAGGCAAAGGAAAAGCCTTATGAGTAAATGGCATATTTTCAAATGCCTACAGGAATATGACACCTTCATATATCTGAAATTACTTCTTTTAAGTAACAAACCTGGTATCTGCATACAGGGCTGTATTATACACTGAACAGCACAACTCTCTGAGGTTAATACCTATGTGAGGGTTTAAAAAAAAACAAACCAGACCCAGACTGTCCACTGTCTTTTTCTGAAAAACTTAAGAGAATTAGGAATATTCTTGATAAATCTCAGAGCAGGTGTTTTATATACAAAAATTCTACATAATTCTGATGGAAATGTTTACAATCATTTTAAAGCAACTGAACACAGACCTTTTTCTCCACTGAAAGCACTCAAAGCTTCCAAGGAATATGCCAATAAGCAGAAGGCATGAGTGAGGAATCAAGAACTTGGGGTGTCATTCTCTACGCTTTACTAAGATTCACTGAAGATAATACACCCTGAAAGCTCTGTATGAAACAGTCAGAACAGCTTGCTTCCAGAGATGTTAAGAATTACTTGCAGATGGCCTGAACAGTCTCAAGGATATTACAAATTGTGAGGAGAAAATACAGCCTTTCTTTTAAACATTTGGTATGTATAAAACAATACACATCATATCGATCGGTACAAAATCCTTAACTGCAGAGCACTTGAGACCCTACAAGTATTCTAAAAAACAAAATACACAAAATAAACAAAAACCTGACAGCACAGGAGCACTGAGCAAACAAATGACTTTTAATTATCTAAGGCATAGACTAAGCTTAATCCCCCTAAACAGAACTTACTATCGTATTGAAAATGGATTTATTTTGCCTTTAAAAATGTGTTATTTTCACAGAACAAAATACATGTAAAACTTGCATTTTCCCTCAGACTTAAGGCACACAATATCCATTAGTATTTGAGAGCATAAAGCAATGGCTTGGGTTTATTTATCACTTCAGAGAAAACAATGTGAAATAAACAATAAACTGCAACAAACACAGGAAAGGTTGTCCTTACCTGCCAGATCTTTAAGTTGGTCTAGTGTTGGAATGATAGGTGGTGATCTCTTTTGCAGAAAAAACATGACCATCATGGTCAGAGAGAAGTTTGTAATCCAGGTACCAGGAACCGTATTTGTAAGTCCATGAACACGTGCCCAACACCGTATAGTGAACACTAGAGCTCTCACACGGGAATCAAGACAGCCATAGATATACAAGAGTTCTGAACATCTTATAGCAATGCTGAAGAACAAATGAAAAATAAAAGGCAAATGGTGAGAGAGTTGTGAAGTATCAGATGCAGTGTTCATTACTCATTATAACAGTATCTGTTAAAAAAAAGGTAACTTTTATGCATTAAGATAAAGAAGAGAATCACAGAATCATAGAATAGTTTGGGTTAGAATGTCTGAAATTGTCCAGGATGAAATACCTGGTAGTTTTCAGTCTGAGGTAAATAATAATACTACATTTGCACTGTTTCCTGTCTCCTTGTTCCATATCACAGTGGAGGAAAAAAAACCCCAAACCACCACTCAATAGTGAAAGTATGCAGAATCAAGGTAAAAAACCATAATTTAGCCACAATTGCCTTTGGGGAACATTAGATAAAATCCCTATCCTAATATATAATAAAATATAACCGGAACTTCTTTTACAACTTTCATCTAAAGAATAATATTAGAACACTGCACTGAAAAATGCACTAACTGCAGGGACACAACAAAATCTGCAAAACAAGTCAATTTGACAATGAATCAAGGTAAAAAACCATAATTTAGCCACAATTGCCTTTGGGGAACATTAGATAAAATCCCTATCCTAATATATAATAAAATATAACCGGAACTTCTTTTACAACTTTCATCTAAAGAATAATATTAGAACACTGCACTGAAAAATGCACTAACTGCAGGGACACAACAAAATCTGCAAAACAAGTCAATTTGACAATTTTCAAATTATTATGGTCCTGCTTGCTGAAAAAAAACCAACTAATCTGGAAGGATAAAGGTTTTCAGATGGATCAGGTTTTGATGTGTTTCATCACATTGTTATATAAATATTCATGTAGCGTACAACTGGGAGGGCAAGAAAAAGTAGGGGGAAATAATCCAAACACAGTGTGAGAGCAATACTTACTTTGGTTCAGTTTTAGCCTGAAGTGCTTGTTGAACTACAACTGCAGGAGTTTTTACGCCCAAACTTGTACTGAATTCTTCTAAAAATTCAGCATAGCCTTTTGGGGATGTTTACTAGGTTACAATTTTATAACACCAGGACTTCTGAAATTTCAACTGTAAGGTGCTTTCTTGTGTCCACAGAGGTGTTATTACTCCAAATGACAACACATGCAGTCCCAACCAGCCAAACCATCAGCAGAGAATTACAAGGAAGCTTACACTGAACTGCATGCTGACTTTCACTGGGGCTGCATATATAAAAGTAATTTTATTGCAAGTCATTTGTTCAGTACTGCCTTACCAACTCCTGCATATTCTGAAACAGAACTTTGGGTAATTCAAAAAACTGAGTCTAGGATCTGATTGTACCTGATGAAGACAAAACACAAAATCTGCACTAAAACTCATATTAAAAGTATTCTGAAAGATAAACACTCATATTTTCACATTCCCTAACAACAATGAAAAGGGTTAGTAACTCGTTTTCGATTATGTACACATACTCCAGGGCTATGGTTGTATACTGGAGTGAGGTGGGTATTTCTTAATATGATAAGTTACAGCAGAATAATTTCTGTGCTTTACTGTCAAAAAGGGGGAGAAGACCCAGCCACGAGGAGCATTCCTGAGCAGCCTCTGCCCTCTATCGGGCAGTGCTGCCCGAAGTCCTGCACGGCACTAACACTGCAGACTCCCCTTCCCCACGCGGGGAGTTAACTTACCTTCCCAGCAAACAGGTGTATGCAGGCCCTTAAGAAGGCAAAATGAGAACCAAAATAACTAGAAGCAAATCACTAAAAATTAACACGCTGGAGCTGCTTCATCTGAAAAGCAATCAATGATGGCTGTGCAAACACTCACATACACAAAGGGCAGTATTGACTAATGAACACTGACTCTTCTTTCAATACTTTCTAAGCCATTGTATAGACTGGCTTTCAAGTCTTCAGTTTCAGCTAGCAAGTATTTCCTACACTGGAGAAAGATAACTTAAGCACATCAAAACCTAAGCTCTAGACGTCAAAAAATACCCTTTTAACTTCCAGAGCCAACATTCACATTTGTTAAGAACACAGAAAGGAGCAGACTAAACAGCTGACATCACAAAGTTTCAGAACATTTAAAGTACATTAGAATTCTTTCTAAACTTTTAAAAAACAGGTCTCACCTGTTGCTCACTGACAGATCACACTGGAATCCTGTCGGTTGATGGGAAAATTTCACCAGAGGGCAGCGAGCATTGAGTATCTTCTGTACACTCACACATCCAGGACCAAAATTATCAAGGCAATCACCAATCACAGAAAGGATCCTCTGATTTGCTAATCTTTCGGATGGTAATCTTTTCATCTGATACTCCATTTCAAAGGGACCTTTTTTCTAACACAGAATTTTAAAAGCAGCCTGTTAGCTCTAGAACAAAAGAGACATTTAAAAACTACTTCCGAAAGACTACAACAACTTGCAAAGGAGTTTGTACAACTAGAGACTGAAAGACAAGAATTATTCAAAGCAGTCCCCAGAACTTAAAATAGGTTAAAACATACTGCTTTCTCTTTTATATTTTTTTTGGTGATTACATTTTTCCACATTAATGGTGATCAACTTCCTGTAAAGCTACAGGTTCAAACAAAGGCATAATACTACTACGTCTCACTATTTGCTAAAACAAGTAATTCTGGAATTCCCAAGAAAGCAGATATGCTCTGACTGCAAAACAGGAGCATACAATTACAGAAGAGCAAAACAACCAAAAACCACCAGTAATTCCACTTCAAATCCTCAAAGAACAATGCACTATTAGTGAATCAAGCAGCAGTGTAAAGAAAAATGTCTTTTTCATTTAAAAAATGTAAACAAATTTATCATGCAAATTACTTAATCCCTCAAAATGAAGATAATCTTCTGTAAGACTTAATCACATTGTTTCCAGTTTTTCTGACAAAAATATTGTGAAGATATATATTCTAACAACATCAGAAATTAATTTTCCTATAGGCCTTTGTATTTTCATTTGCCATATTTGTAGTTTTTATATCAATAAAATAACTTCATACCTGTGAAATCTCTGTGTTTTTAAGCCTGAGCTAATTTTGCTTGCTAATCCAATACTTGACACTGACTTATCCTCCCCCTTGGAACAAGTCATGGGTGAATGCATACTATACAAACAGCATTACAGTGACCTAACTAGCCAACTGAGACACACAGGATGTTACTTTTGTGGTCACCAGATGAGTGCACTCACAGACAGGTGAAACAATTGAGAAGTTATGGACCCTGCAACCTTTCCCATAAACTCACTTCAGGTGCTTCAATTTCCAAGTTGCTCTGGCAATCACAGAGGTCACTGCTCCTGCTCTCCAGTCAGCATGTGTGTTGGAACATGCCAGGACAGAGGTACCTAACTTCATCTGGCTGTGTAGCTGCATGCTGCAGCAGGGCTGGCTCAAAGTGAAAGGAGCCTAGAACTATCAACATTGAGGTAGGTAACAGGAAAGAAAAAGATGGGGAGTCAGCCAACATGTAAGTGGGCTTTGGATCTTTAAATTTGTGACACAAACCACAATGGGCCTTTCAAGAGCGCAGCCCAATGAAGACTTTTTTGTAATGATAAAGTAGATACTCTTAATAATTGATAGAACCTTCATATATAGCTTTGGTGCTAGCTAGGGGGGATGAAGCACTGATACACTTGCCCCAACTCTGTGGTTTTCCCCTATTCTTGCCATGTTACCCACAACAGCAAATAGAGGCAAACTGAAATAGTAACCAAGGGAAGAAGTATAGCTTTTTCAACAAAAGCTCTAAAAATATCACAGTGCCCTGTGGTCAGAGACTATATTCCTAATCCACTCTTGGTAAAGAGCATTCTCATTTTTGCTCCTTTTTTAATTTACAGTTAGTAATCCATTTACTGTAAGACTCAAAAAAAGAGTTATTTCATGTAAATAGGTGCTGAAATATCCAATCTTCCATTGCTGGCACCTCCTGAAAGGCTGAAAAAGTCACACTGCCAACTATATGAGACTTTTGCTTTCCTCTGGAGTCTTGTCTGTTGCCTATCACAGGAGATACACCCAATATTGTCATTTCCTACTGCTTTGGGTTTACATGTCACAGTTTTGGTAGTGGGGGAGCTGCAGGGATGACCTCTGTGAGAAGACACCAGAAGCTGCTGTTCATGTTGGACAGAACAGTCCATCCTATGCAGCTCTAAGACAGATCAGCCACTGGCCAAAGCTGAGCCCATCAGCAATGCCAGTGATACCTCCGTGATAACACACTTAAGAAAGGGTAAAAAACACCGTGTAGCACCTGGGAGGGAGAAAACTGTGAGGAACGATCCTGCAGACACTGGGGTCAATGAAGGAGGAGGAAGACATGCTCCAGACATCAGAACAGAGATTCCCTAGAAGACCATGGTGCTGCAGTTTGTCCTCTGCAGCCCATGGAAGACCCCACACCAGAGCTGCCCTTGAAGGAAGCTCCAGCTTGTGGAAAGCCCATGCAGGAGTAGGCTACTGGCAGGAGCTACAGGCCATGAAGAGGAGCAGGTTTTCTGGCAGGACTTGTGATCCTGTGGGAAACACACTGGAAGCAGGCTACGGGCAGGAGCTACAGGCCATGAAGAGGAGCAGGTTTTCTGGCAGGACTTGTGATCCTGTGGGAAACACACTGGAGCAATCTGTTCCTGAAGGACTGTACCCTGTAGTAAGGGCCCATTCTGGAGCAGCTCTTGAAGAGCTGCAGCCCATGGCAGGGAGTACAGGCTGGAGCAGGGGAACAGCATGAGGAGAAATGAGTAACAGAAATGAAGCATTATGAACTGACCACAACCTCCATTCCCAGACCCTGCCTGTGCTTCTTGCAGAGAGGAGGTAGAAGCCTTGGGAGTGAAATTGAGCCTGGGAAGAAGGGGACATGGCGGGAAGGGGGGTTTTTTAAAATTTATATTTTTTCTATTTCTCACTGCTCTGTTATTAACTAGCAATATATTAGTTTTCCCCAAGTTGAGTCTGGTTTGCCTGTGATGGTAATTGGTAAGTGATCTCCCTGTCTTTAACTCACCTCACAAGTCTTTTCATCTTACTTTCTCCCCTTATCTGCTGAGAAAGGAGTGAAACCAACTGGGTAGGCAGCTGGAGGCCAGCCAGGGTTAACCCACCACACCCATAAAGTCCAAGGCTATCTGGGTGCTGGCACCTTAATCTCCCATTTTGATTACGCTTGAATCAAGACACAAGAGTTACACTATGGATTTTTACACAGGACAATGCTCTAACATACCTCACTTCTATACACTTCCAAATCAGAGTATGGGTAAAAGACATTATTCAGATAAAATTTAAAATGTGCACTGAAAAAAGGCAAGACTCTTGACCTCATATTGCTTACTGGAAGTCTTGTCATCCTCAGCTTCTTGAGGTAGTGGTGCAAATTCTGTACTTTGCTCAACAAATTCAAGTGAATCTATTTCAATTTCAAGGCTCTACATGTGCTTAGTAATTTCCTTGATGCTTATTGTCGTATTATCAATGAGGCATTCAAATAATTATGAGGTATGTTATGGAAAGTCTGACAACTGAAAGTATCTGCAGTATTGATCAGGCTCAGTTCCTGTCTGCTCCTGGATCCCAGTCCCCAAAGCAACTACAGTTCACATATACCAGCTTATCCTCAAACTTCTTTCAAAAGTAAGCCAGCTAATTCCTTTCACAATGAAAATCAGGTGATGTTAACACAGTAATTTTCTCTGGACAAATAGCACAAATATGAATATGTGTCACCTGTAACTATTCACCAACTGGGACAACTGTCCCAAAATGCACATGCACACATATGCACAAACGATATGTGTCACCTGTAACTATTCACCAATACCATTCCAGGTCCTAAACTCTGACACCTCCAGACACTCTTTACATATGTATCTATATATATGGACCACAGTACATAATTCAGTAACTTTTCTGGAGCATAAAGTCAACTCCTAAAACTAAGGAAAAGAACCTGACAACTGTCTCAAAATGCACAGGCACACATACGCACAAACTTATTATGCTTGAGAACATATAAAACCC